AATACCCAGTGACATCTGCGATTCCGTCTTCGCCCCGTCTCCCGCTGCCACTGCCGCCTTTTCTCGCACGCGGCTGTCCCAGCACGCAGCAGATGACGTCTTGATCCCCGGCCTTGTGCCACTGCCCTCGGCCGTTCTCTCGTCTCGCATACGCATGGCCCTGTCTGTAGCTGGTGACGTCTGAAATCCCGTCCTCGCCCCACTGCTTGCTGCCACTGCCTGTTCTCTCTCTCTCTCTCATGTCCCCGCGTGTGCCTGATGACGTCTGGGCCCCCAAACACGCGCCCCTGCTTGCTGCCACTGTTTCTTCTCGCACGAGCGCGCCACGCCCTGCAAATGATGACGTCTGGGCGCCCACCCTACCACTGCTGCCTGCCCCCACTGCCGTCTTCTTCGGCGCACGCGCGCCCCGACTCGCATTCGCTGGCACCTGGTCCCATGACCTCGCCCCACTGCCAGCTGCCAGTGCCACTTCTCGCACGCGCGCGTCCCAGCTTGTGGCCGGTGGCGTCCGGGGCCCTGCTCCCGCATCGGTGTCCGCGGCCGGCGCCTGGTCTCGCACGTTTCCACTGCGGTATCTTCTCCGGCATCGGGCTCCAGCTCCGCCTCCCTGCAGAGAGGCGCTTCCAGGGGCTCGCCAGCAACGTTGAAAACTGCAGACTCGTCTGTTTCTCGCTTTGCGCACGCTCTGGCTCTGCTGTCGCTTCTCGCGCGCTCTGGTCCTTGGCTGCGTCTTCGCGCATTCGCTTGTCTGGTTCAGTGCTGCCACCTCTGCCACTGCTATCACTGGTGATTGTTACCGCTGCCGCTTCTGTCTGCTGCCGCTGACCATCCTTTGACGGAGGGAACGAGAAGAAAACTGGGGTGCCGCACACGCAGTGCTTTGAGAAAATACTGATGGCATCGGGTCCCTGCCCCTCGCCTCCGAGTGATGTCTGGTGGCCGCCACCATTTCTGCCCACATTTCTTGATGGCTCGTCTTGTGATGCGGGAATGGGGAGAAGAGCTGCTGTCTCGCCTCCTGCGCTCGTGGTCTGAACGTGATGACCACATCCCCGCTCCGTTACCTGAGTTGGGGCGAAATGGGGAGCATCTTCTCGCAAATGGGATGAGCGAGGTGGGCAGGGCTCCCATACATGATTGTACGCGGCCTTCCACAGCAAGCCGACGTCGTACGGGTCGCACCTTCTACTCCAGGCTCGCGCTGCATATCCGAGTCGGCCCGCTGCTTTCTTCACAGCGGCGGGCGACCTCCACGCGGGACGCGTGGGCCCTGTCTCGTAGCCAGTGTTCCTCATGGAGAAAGCCTCACGTCCAACGCGGCGCCTCCTCTTCCTCCTCCTTTTCCCTCCTAGCACGCGAGTGCGGGGCGGGGCCCCCCCGCGCCCCTGGCGCCCCCGGCGCCCGCCCCTGAGAGAGGCGCGCGCGGCCCGCGCCGCGGCCGTGCAGCTGGCCTGCCTGGAGGCCGCGCGCGGGAGGCCCGCCCGCGCCCCAGGAAGCGGGGGGCCGGCCAACCCTCCCTGGCTCCTGCTCCCCCCTCCCCTCCGCCCAACGCTAGCCTCAGGTCGGGCATGTCCCTTCCACAGGAGGAATACTCCAGAATGGTTTGAAACAGTACTCTGGGGACCATTTTTCGCCTTTGCATTAAAGAAAGAATGCCCAAATCCGCCTGTAGGAGAAAGTGCCCGACCTGACATGAGAGCGAGCTGCCAGACCTCCGCCCACAACACTGCCCAGGCAAGTTCGAGGGATCGCGACGGCTGCCGCGCGGCCCCCAGCTCGCGCGAGCGGCGCGAGCAAGGCTCGCGGGCCGAGGTCGGCCGGCCTCCCACACCACAGGGGGCCCAGGAGACGCCCCAGAGGCCCCTCCCCCGCAAAGTGCCGGCGGCGAGGCCCTCCCTCGCTCCTTCCCCCCTCTCCCGTGCCGATGGGTGTCTGGTGTAAGGGTGGGTCCTCCTTTTCCCTCCCTCTCTCCTCTCCTTCAGGGTGTTTGTTTTTACCCTCTGGGCCATAATGCGCGTCATTCGCCCTCCCCTTCCCCCCCCCATACTGGCCATAACGTAACGCCTCCCCCCTCAGTGCGTCCCTGGCACTGCCGCAGTGCGTCCGGTACCACAGTCTGGGTGTGGGGGGGGATCGCTACGTTATGTCCCCTCCCATCCCTCCCCCCCTATTAGCGCTCGTCATGGCCGCGGATGAAAAATGCGCTCCGTTTTTTCCGAGCTGGGCGTTTTCGCCTGCGTTCGGGCCCCGGGGCCCTCACAGGTCGATCGGGGCTCGAAGAGTGGCGCGGGGAGGTGGGGTCTGGGGCTCTGGTCGTGCTTCTTCGCGACGCTTCCATTTGTCCTTGTCGGCGTCGGAGATCCCAGGGTGCTAGCAACACCTGGAGGGCCGGCCTCCCCTGACCTTCCAGAGCGCTAGAAATAGCACTCCACAGACTCACAGGACCTGCATGAGGCGTTCCAAGAAGGGCCTCGCATTCGAGGGCCGAAGGAGTTGTCATCTCTTCCTCGGCGGAAGGCGGCGGAAGGTCCTCGGAAGTAACGCGAGGCGGCCTCCGCCGGCGGAAGGCCGGCGGAAGGCTGGCGGAAGGCGGCGGAAGCAATCAGTTGCCCTCCAAGAGATGGCACCATTTTGGGGTTCCGGGGTCCCAGAATTCGCCATCTGGACTGTTTATAAACCTCGGCGGGGATTTAGTTGTCGGGGTCCTGGTGCTGTGCTTCAGCTGGGAGGTCGGGGTCCAAGTCCTTTCGGCGTCACCCCAACATACTTGTCCTATATGTGCGTCGCCCCTCCAGGGGCGACGCGCGCACCGAGAAATCTTGTAGTATCTGCGTCGTGGCGGGCGCTTTCTGGCCACACCGCTCGGGAAACGGCCTACTACAAGATGGGTGTGCTATGTGTTCGGGTCGGACTCGCGCCTCCACGGAGGACGTACAGGACTGGGATGCTTCCGTGCGTCCCATGGGAGGTCAGGGCCCGGGCCCTTGGCGCGCGCGACCGCCATGGGGACCGCCGAGGGCCGCCGACGGGGGGCCCCTCTGGCGAGGGCTTCCAAGCGCCGAGCGCCGGCGGGGGGCCGGCGGGGAGCAGACGATGGGGCCCGCCTCGCGGAGCCGAGCGCTCGGGGGCGGCGGTGCCTGGCGGGCCGCGGGCCGGGCGGGTGCGGCAGCAAAAGCGCGGGAGCCTCGTGAACTCTAGGTCTCCCAGAGGGGATCCGAGCAGGTGTGCGAGGATGGGAAAGGCGCCGTAAACGTAAGCTTGTGGCGCTCCCTTCCCTGGCGCGCTCCGCGCGCCAGGGAGGGGGGGTCCAGCGCAGATCCACGAAATCCGCGCGGAGCGCCGCTTTTTGTTGCCGTTGTCGTTCGGCGCGAGGCGAAACCGATGTCCCAGACCCCCTCGAGCAGTAGCAAAAAAAACTCGACGGGAGATGTTCGGCCATTTTTGGCATCCAGGGTCCTCGCCGGGCCCCGCGACCGTCAAAAAACGACCCGAGGATGAAAAACGGGTCCCAGGGAAGGGTCCAGACCTCTGCAGGGGGTCGACGTTGAGAACAAACCACGGCGCGCACAGGCGTCGTTCAGCGTCTGGCAGTCGATAAGCGTCGGATAGCGTCGATTCAGCGTCGATTTGCAAGAGCCAACAAGGTTCAGAAGCCAGGCGAAGGATGGCAAACCCGTGGCTGCCAAAACGGAGCTCCAGGAAATTGTTTGTTACTTCTGGGAAGCAGCCCGTTCACTATTTGGCGTGCTGAGTCTTGTTCGGGGGATAATTATTTTTCTCCCGGGAAGACCGTTTCAGCAGCCACGGATTTGCCAGCCCTCGCCCAGCTTCCGAAAGGTGGTGTATCAGGAGGGGAAAAACACACAGACACAATTAATCGTGGATCCCCCGGACATTACGGGAAACTATGGGCAGCAGGGGGGGAAGCCGAACATTCAACAAATGTTTGAAATAAGGGGAATCCTGGGAATTGTGTCTGTTTCTTTGTGTGCCCCTTGGCCCCTTTGGTATAGGAGGCCCCCATGGGTTGCCACGGAGGGCGGGCGGCGCAGGGATCGACGCGCGGGGCGGGCGCCCCGGCAGGGCGGGCACTCGCGTGCAGGCTGCCCGCGACGGACCCCCCCGCGCTGCGAAGCAATCTTAAGTCGGGCATGTCCCCCTCTACAGGAGGAGGATTCAACAAACATAATAAAAAAATTAGCCTGGCGAAGGACCCAACCATATGCAGTTGTGAATGCCGCAATTGTGCTGGGTGGTGGCGGACGCATGCGGGCGGTGCCACTGGGACCTTCGGTGGAGCTCCCTATGGGGCCACGAAGCGCTGTACTGGGTGGGTGAGACGCGGTGAGCTGTGCTGCGTGGTGGCGGACGCATGCGAGCGGTGCCACTGGGACATTCGGTGGAGCTCCCTATGGGGCCACGAAACGCTGTACTGGGTGGGTGAAACGCAGGCAGGGAGCAAGGGCTGCGCAGGGTGGTGGCGGACGCATGCGGGCGGTGCCGCTGGGACCTTTGGTGGAGCTCCCTATAGGGCTACGAAGCGCTGTTCTGGGTGGGTGAAGCGCAGGGAACAAGGGCTGTGCTGGGTGGTGGCGGACGCAAGCGGGCAGTGCCACTGGGACCTTTGGTGGAGCCCCCTATGGGGCCACGAAACGTGCGAGGGGTGTGCCAGAATGGGGTGTGGAACCGCATGCCAGCGCAGCCACTGGGGCCTTCGGTGGAGCTCCCTATGGAGCCACGAAGCGTGTGAGGGGTGTGCCGAAATGGGGGGTGGAACCGCATGCGAGCGCAGCCACTGCGGCGTTCGGTGGAGCTCCCTATGGGGCCACGAGACGTGTGAAGGGCGTGCCGAAAAAGGGGGTGGAACCGCATGCGAGCGCAGCCACTGGGGCCTTCGGTGGAGCTCTCTATGGGGCCACGAACCGTGTGAGGGGTGTGCCGAAATGGGGGGGGGAACCACATGCGAGCGCAGCCACTGGGGCGTTCGGTGGAGCTCCCCATGGAGCCACCCACGAAGCGTGTGAGGGGTGTGCCGAAATGGGGGGTGGAACCGCATGCGAGCGCAGCCACTGGAGCGTTCGGTGGAGCTCCCTATGGGGCCACGAACGTGTGAGGGGTGTGCCGAATGGGGGGTGGAACCGCATGCGGGCGCAGCCACTGTGGAGCTCCCTATGGGGCCACGAAGCGTGTGAGGGGTGTGCCAGAAGGGGGGGTGGAACCGCATGCGGGCGCAGCCACTGGGGCCTTCGGTGGAGCTCCCTATGGGGCCACGAAACGTGTGAGGGGTGTGCCAGAACGGGGGGTGGAACCGCATGCGGGCGCAGCCACTGGGGCCTTCGGTGGAGCTCCCTATGGGGCCACGAAGCGTGTGACGGGGGGTGCCAGAATGGGGGTGGAACCGCATGCGGGCGCAGCCACTGGGGCCATCGGTGGAGCTCCCTATGGGGCCACGAAACGTGTGAGGGGTGTTCCAGAATGGGGGAGGGGTGTGCCAGAAGGGGGGGTGGAACCGCATGCGGGCGCAGCCACTGGGGCCTTCGGTGGAGCTCCCTATGGGGCCACGAAACGTGTGAGGGGTGTGCCAGAATGGGGGGGTGGAACCGCATGCGGGCGCAGCCACTGGGGCCTTCGGTGGAGCTCCCTATGGGGCCACGAAACGTGTGAGGGGTGTGCCAGAATGGGGGTGGAACCGCATGCGGGCGCAGCCACTGGGGCCTTCGGTGGAGCTCCCTATGGGGAAACGTGTGAGGGGTGTGCCAGAATGGGGGGTGGAACCGCATGCGGGCGCAGCCACTGGGGCCTTCGGTGGAGCTCCCTATGGGGCCACGAAACGTGTGAGGGGTGTGCCAGAATGGGGGGTGGAACCGCATGCGGGCGCAGCCACTGGGGCCTTCGGTGGAGCTCCCTATGGGGCCACGAAACGTGTGAGGGGTGTGCCAGAATGGGGGTGGAACCGCATGCGGGCGCAGCCACTGGGGCCTTCGGTGGAGCTCCCTATGGGGCCACGAAACGTGTGAGGGGTGTGCCAGAATGGGGGGTGGAACCGCATGCGGGCGCAGCCACTGGGGCCTTCGGTGGAGCTCCCTATGGGGCCACGAAACGTGTGAGGGGTGTGCCAGAATGGGGGTGGAACCGCATGCGGGCGCAGCCACTGGGGCCTTCGGTGGAGCTCCCTATGGGGCCACGAAGCGTGTGAGGGGTGTGCCAGAATGGGTGTGGGAGGGGGAGGAGGAGGGAGGAAGGGGAGGAGGAGGAGGAAGGAGGAGGAGGAGGAAGGAACGCGGGGCGACGTCTCTTCAAAACGAGGACCCAACACCACAGGATGGTTGGGAAATAGTCTGGGGACGATATGTTCCTTATTTTTTGACGATGGCGGGCATTTTTATTGTTTTTTAACTATCGCCCCGAATCCAACTGCAGGTGGACATGCCCGACCTAAGAACAATCACGACGGGCGTTCTTTCTCTATTCTCTGCCTCTGGGGGCCCTCGCCGGGCCCCGAGGCCGTCGAAAAACGATGCGTTTAGGAAGAACAGCCGACGTCGTGAACAAGCAATTACGCCTTCGGGGCTCTGGGCCGGAAGGCCGCGTGCGGAAGCGCCCTCGCCTTCCGCGCGGTGGCGCCCAGCGCAGGCGGCCCGCGCGTGGGCCACCGCTCTCATGGTCGGTCGCCGCTTGGCCCCCCTCGCGCCGGCAGGGCCCGGCCCCCTCCCCGGGCTTTCAGGAGCGCCAAAGAATAGCACCAGGACCTTGACGTCTGAATTCCCGTCGAGGTTTTTTAGGCAGTCCAGGTAGCAGTGATCGTTTGCTTATTCACGGTTTTGCCGATACCCCCTCCTCCTTCCCCCCCATGGAGCAGATCTTGGTTGCTTTTGGCGCCTGTTTCGAGCAAGTAGAGCCTCCCCCAAAGGACGCACTCTCGCAAACCGTGGCGCTACGTAGAAGCAGAGGTCCGGAGCCAGACGCCCCCCTCCACCCCCCTTCCGCCCAACGCCGAAACGCCGAACAAGAAAACGAACGCTAGGTCTGTAGGTCTGGACGGCTTTTTTTTCCACCCTGGAAGGTCCGGGTCTTCGTCGCGCAGGCGTGCCCGCCCCCCCCCCCCACGGGGAGGAGCAGCGGCCTCGGGATCGCGGGCTGCCGCCGAGCGCGGGCGCGCCGCGAGCGGGCGCGGCGGCCCGCGCCCGCCGCCGCCCGCCGCCGTCGCAGAAAAGTCCCGCGGCCCCGGAGAGGATGACGGACATCGGCTGCAGAGGAGGAGGAGGAGGAGGAGGAGGAGGAGGAGGAGGCGGCGGCGGCGGCGGCGGCGGCGGCTCCGGCAGCGACGGGGGCTGGGGCGGCGACTGCGCGGCGGCTGCGCGGTGGCGTCGGCGACGACGCTGGCGACTGCGGCGGCGCCGCCGCCGCGCCTGACTGACCTGGGTCTGGATCGACTCGGGTCAGAGGATCCCGAAGGTGCTCCCAGGTTCGTAGATGAAGGGGGTGGTCCCGAGATGTGGCTCAGGAGCGAGCCCAGCTGGATAGTCACGTGTCCTCTCTTCCAGAGGCCGTTTGGGGCGGTTTCTCTCTGGCCCCACCTTTGTCCCTGTGTGCCTCATCTGTCTGCGTTCCGCCAGGCTGTCGTCGGCCGCGGCCAGCGCCCGCCACCGTGCGGCTGCTGCCGTTTTCTGCACACCGCGCCCCGCGGCGGCAGAGCTGGGGCCACCACAGGACTCACCTCTGGGGCCACGACGGGGCTCGTTTCTCGTGGCCCAAGAGACGGTGGTCAGAGCTCACGGGGGTCAGTCAGAGCGCGGGATCTTGCACAATCCTGCAGGGCCAGGGTTGCACTGACCCTGGCTTGGGTGCAGGATCCTACAGGTTCTTGTGGAATCCTGCAAAGCCCGACTGACCCGGGTTTGGATTGACCCGGGCCAGTAGATCCCCGAATTTCGACTCCTCCGACCCAATTCGATTCGATGTCGGTCGACTCCGATTTCGATTCGATCTGACTTCGGATTCCGATGTGGATGCCAGTTGTTCTCAGTGGGGGAACTGCTAGCCGGCCGACTTCCAGCCGATACGACTGCTCCTGATTCAGTGGCCGAGTCCCGCCGAGCCGACGCACGTCGATCGCCGAGCCGACTCACTTCGATCCGTTTCTGGGCCCTCCTGCCGCAGTCGACGGCGCCCGAACGGCGTGGCGACCACAACTCTCTTCCTCCTCCTCCTCCTCCTCCTCCTCCTCCTCCTCCTCCTCCTCCTCCTCCTCCCTTCTCCTCCTCCTCCTCCTCCTCCTCCTCCTCCTCCTCCTCCTCCTGTCTTTCCTCCTCCTCCCCCCTCCCCCTCCCTCCTCCCTTCCTCCCTCCTTCCCTCCCTGCCTAGTGCTCCCTCCCCTCCTCCTCCCCCTCCCCCCTCTGGGGCTCCTGGGGCTCTGGTTTCTGTCTCGGTGGCCTCGCCTCGTTTCCTGGCGAGGGCCCCCCTGGGGGCCTGTGGCTTTCGGGGTGTGCTCCCCTGGGGTTCCTGGGGCTTTCTGTTTTGTTGCGGTGGCCTCGCCCGTTCCCTGGCTTGGGGCCCCCCTGGGGGCCGGTGGAGTTCGGGGTGGGCGAGGGGGCTCTTTCTCCCCCCCTGTCTCTCCCCGCAGGCCGGGCCGCGTCCCGATGCCGAGCCGGGGTGGTGGCGGGGGGCACCCACTCGGGAAGGGCTCTTCCAGTCATCTCTCATCGCCTCGCAGCTGCGCCCTGCGGTGGCATCCGTGATGTGCTAGGACGGGCGAGGCCCCAGCGGAGGTGAGCGGGAGCTCTCGCGCTGTCCATCCCCACTCTGCGGCACAGGTTCCGCCCGGCACGGGTGGCCACCAGGGCTGCCCTGGATGGATCCCCCTGTCCCCTTCGTCCTGGGTCGGGACCCCAGCAGTAGAGCCCTCCTATTCTGGGATATCCCGCTCCCAGGTATTTGGGGGCTGGTATTGCTGGGCCTTCCTGTGGTTGAGGTGGGGCGGGGAGGGTGCCCCAGGGGAGGTACCCCAGGGAGTCTCTCGGACCAAGTGGCGCCGTGGCGTTGCGGTACTAGACCCCCGCGACAGGTGGTGAGCTGCCCCCCCAGCCATCCCTGAGTGGGAGGTGCCGCTAAAGAGGCAGTGCCCGCGGCCTCACCAGACTGCTTACCCAAGCCACCACCACCACCTTCTCGTCCTCTCCTCCTCCCTCCTCCCCCTCCTCTCTCCTCCTCCTCCTCCTCCTCTCTCCTCCTCCTCCTCCTCCTCCTCCTCCTCCTCCTCCTCCTCCTCCCTCCTCCTCCTCCTCCTCCTCCTCCTCCTCCTCCTCCTCCCCCCTTCTCGTCCTCGTCCCTCCGCCCTCGTCCCCACCCTCGCCCGCCTCCTCGCAAGCTTACGCTCCTTTTGGATGGAATGTGGAATGTGTATATCTGCGAGCGGCGCCCAATAGCGCTCAGATAGCGGCAGCGCTCCAACAGCGCCAGACAGCGCCCAGTAGCGTCGACTGGCGCCCACATGGAGCCCGCTAGCGACCAAGAGCGCCCGATAGCGCCCTGTGAGGGACATGCGTGAATGCCGCTTTGCGCCCGATGGGGCGCGCAATTGGGCGCCAGGGGGACGACCAAAACCTTCCCGCAGTTGTTTGCTAAAACGCACACGTGGGGATTCAAGGTCATCGCACGGTTTTGGGGATTGGGTCGTTCTCCGCGGAAGTGTCGGAAGATTAGGGCTTCCAGGTGTTTAGGGTCCCGCAAACAATGCGGTGAGGGACCGTGCGGCGAGGTCCTTCGGGATTTCGAGGTCACCGCGCGCTCTGTCACTGGACGTTTTTGGGACCGTCATCACCATTCGAAGATAACAAATCATAATCGAACACATTCGGAGGCCCACACAGATTTATTGAATCGGCGCTGGCCTCTGCCGGCGACTCTGGCGCCGCCACTGGCGCGCTCCGCGCATCAGGGAGGGGGTGAGGCGCCGATCCAAGACATCCGCGCGGACCTGCGACAGTTTATGCTTACGCAGCTGTTCCATTTGCTCACCATGCTCGCACCAACTGTGCGCCTGAAGACAGCGAGCTCGAGCCATCTTGAGCCAGAGTGGCCAAGCATGGTGGAAGAGGAGTTGGAGGAGGGCGAACAGGACTAGGAGGAGGAGGAGAAGGAGGAGGAGGAGGAGGGGGAGGGGAAGAAAGGAGGAGGAGAGGGAGAGAAGGGCACTGATGGTATCGAGGAGGTTAAGGAGGACGAGGAGGAAGAGGATATCGAAAAGCAGGAGGACAGCAGAAGAAGGAGGATGGGGAGGCGGAGAACGACAATAGGCTGGCTCAGTTGCAGGACCTCGGCGCTCGCTTAGGATTGCGCCACGCGTTGCATTACCATCCTGACAGTCAGGCACATCTGCAATATGTCCTCTTCCTGCTCCTCCAGGAGCCTCTTCATCTGGCACATTATCATCATCATCGTCAATCATGATCATCATCACCACCGCCATGAACCACATCATCACCATCATCATCCTCATCATCACCATCATCACTGGTATCAGTATTGCCATCATCAGTATTATCAGCACCACCATCAGCATCATTATCAGAACCATCACCATCACCATCACCATCACCATCACGACCATCATCATCATCATCATCATCATCATCATCATCATCATCATCATCATCATCAGCATCATCATCATCATCATCACCACCGTCACCATCATCATCACCATCACCATCATCACCATCATCATCATCAGCATCATAAGCATCATCATCAGCATCATCATCGTGCCCACGGCCTTCCAGGCAACCCATTCGGCCCGCCCTTTCCCCTACGACGCTCCACGAGAGGTCGCCGTGGTTTACCTGGACCACAGACATAGGGGCATGGCGCTGGTGTGCCGCGCGCTGTACAACGCCATAGGACGGGCTCACGGGGCCGAGGGGGCCGGGGAGCAGTTTTCTCCGGAGTCAAGAGAGCGGGGAAGGGGTGAAGGGCGGAGGGAGGTATGGAGGGGAAGGGGTTGAGGGAGAAGAGGAGGGGCAGAGGGCGGGAGGGCGGCAGGAGTTCAAGGAGTGGACGATTGGTTCAGGCAGGAGGGGGGGGCAGGGGGGGGCGGGGGTGGAGGCGGACTACGACGAGGATAAGGGGGGTCGCGGAGGAGGAGGCGTAACGAGAATGGTGCGACGAAGACCAAGAGGAAGCATACCTATGCCAATAATAATGATAGTAGTACCACTAATAGTATTAGTAATCGTATGAATAATATGGCTCATACCCGTAATACTAGGTTAAAAACAACACGTAGTTATAAGAGTACTTCTAAGCAAAATCATGATATTACTTCTATTGCGATTGCTACTACTACTACTACTACTACTACTACTCCTACTACTATTACTGCTGTTGCTGCTGCTGCTGCTACTACGGCGACTACTACTACGATTATTGTTGCGACGACTACTGTTACGACGACGACGACTACGACTACGACTACTACTACTACTACTACTACTCCTACTACTACTACTACTACTACTACTACTACTACTACTACTACTACTACTACTACTACTACGACTACTACTACTACTACTAGGGCTGACCGGGGGATGGTGGCCGGGCAGTTCGTCCGTGAAACGACTTAAGGGTGGTGATGGAAGTTTCGCGTTTCCAACGGCTTTAACAAAAAAAGAGATTGTGGGTGTGGGTGTGGGTATGGGTGTGGGTGTTTCATGTATGATGTATGCTGGTGTATGATGTTGTGTGATAGTGTATGAGTGTGTATGATGTTGTATGATGATGTACGATGATGTATGATGTTGTACGATGATGCATGGTGATGTATGAAGTTGCACGATGATGTATGATGATGTATGATGATGTATGGTGATGTATGGTGGTGTATGATGGTGTATGATGATTGATGTATGGTGTTAGCGTATGTAAGATGTAAGGTGATTAAAGGTGTATGATGTGTGATGTTTGATGTTGAATGTTGAATGATGTTTGATGTTTGATGTTTGGTGTTTGATGATAAACGATGCTTGTTGATGGTTGGTGTTTGATGTATGATGGTTAATGATGATTGGTGCTTGATGTATGATGTATGATGTTTGATGTTTGACGATGTATGGTGTTTGATGTTCGATGATGTATGATGTATGTTTGGTGTTGTTTGGTGTCCGATGTTTGATGGTTGATGATGTTTGATGAGTTATGTGTAATGTTGTGTGGTGCTTGATGTGCGGTGTTTGATGTTTGGTGTTTGATGATGTACGATGTTTGATGTTTCATGTTCGATGCTTGATGACGTCTGATGTTTGGTGATGTGTGGCGCTTGATGTTCGATGTTTGACGATGTATGATGTTTGTTATTTGATGATGTATGTTGTTTGATGGTTGTTGTTTGATGATGTTGAATGTTTGATAATGTATGATGGTTGGTGTATGATGTATGAAGTTTGATGATGTCTGATGGTTGCTGTTTGTTGTATGCTGTTTGATGACGTGCAATGTATTACGATGCATGGTGTTTGAGGATGTGTGAGAATGTATGATGTACGGTGTCTGGTTGTCTAGTATGATGTCCGGTGTTTGATGATGTATTATGATGAATTGTGTTTGGTGGTGTATTCTGATGTATGGTGTATAAAAGTACAATAATGTAAGAGGATGTATTATGATGTATGGCGTTTGATGGTGTGTTATGTTGTATGGTATGTGATGTTGGATGATGTGTGATGCTGTATGATGTATGAGACTTGATGATGTCTGATGTTTGATGACATATGATGTTTCACGGTGTCTGATGCTTGATGATGTATGATGGTTGATCATGTATGGTGTCTGTACAATGTTGTATGAGGCATGATGATGTATGGTTTCTGTGCATCATCATCACCAGCAGCAGCATCGACATCACCACCAGCATAATCATCATCATCATGATCATCATCACCACCATCAGCATCGTCGTCGTCATCGCCGTCGTCATCGTCATCGTCATCATCATCACGATCATCATCATCATACGCACCATCATCAACAGAAGCATCATCACCACCATCATCATCATCAGCAGCATCAACATCAACAGCATCATCATCATCATCATCATCATCACGCCCTCGTCCCGTTCGACCGCCTCAATCACAATCATCACGCCCTCGTCGTCAGGCCTCCCAGGAGGCTTCCCAGGAGGCGAGACCCGTCAGGAGGCCCAAAAGGCCTCCCAGGAGGCCCCAGAGGCCTCTCAGGAGGCCCAGGAGGCCTTTCAGGAGGCCAAAGAGGTCTCTCAGCAGGATGCCCAAGGGGCCTGCCGGGACGCTTAAGAAAACCCAGCAGGAGGCCCAAGAGGCCTCTCAGGGCCCAAGAGGCCCCCCAGGAGGCCCAAGAAGCCTCTCATGAACCTCAAAAAAAGGCCTCTCAAGAGGCCCAAGATGCGCTTCAGGAGGCCCAATAGGTCTCTCAGGAGGCCCAAGAGGCCGTCCAGAAGGCCCAAGAGGCTTCCCAGGAAGCCCAAGAGGCCTCCCAGGAGGCCCCCCAGGAGCCCCAAGAGGCTTCTCAGGAGGCCCCAGGGGCCTCTCAGGAGGCCCAAGAGGCTTCTCTGGAGGCCCAAGAGGCCTCTCAGGAGGCCCAAGAGGTTTCTCAGGAGGCCATAGAGGCCTCCTAGGAGGCCCAAGAGGCCCCCCAGGAGGCCCAAGCAGCCTCTCAGGAAACTCAAAAAAAAAGGCTTCTCAGGAGGCCCAAGATGCGTTTCAGGAGGCCCAATAGGTCTCTCAGGAGGCCCAAGAGGCCTTCCAGAAGGCCCAAGAGGCCTCCCAGGAAGCCCAAGAGGCCTCCCAGGAGGCCCCCCAGGAGCCCCAAGAGGCTTCTCAGGAGGCCCAACAGGCCCCAGAGGCCTCTCAGGAGGCCCAAGAGGCTTCTCAGGGGCCCAAGGAGCTTCCCAGAAGGCTCAAAGAGGCCTCAGGAAGCCAAAAAAGCTTCCCAGGAGGTCCAATAGGCTTCACAGGAGGCCCAATAGGCCTCTCAGGAAGCCCCAGAGGCCTCCCAGGAGGCCCAGAAGGCCTCCCAGGAGGCCCAAGAGGCCTCCCAGGAGGCCCAAGAGGTCTCTCAGGAGGCCCAAGAGGCCTCTCGAGAGGCCCAAGATGCCTCTCAGGAGGCCCAAGGAGCATCCCAGGATACCCGAGAGGCCTCTCAGGAAGCGCAAGACAGCTTCCCTGGAGGCCCCGCACACCCCGCGCGCCTCGCGCGCCACGCGCGCCGCGCGCGCCACGCGCGTCCCGCGCGCCCCGCGCGCGCGCGCCCCGCGCGCCCCCGCGCGCCGCGCGCGAGCGCCCCGCCCCGCGGCCCCGCGAGCGCGCGCGCCCCGCGCGTCCCGCGCGTCCCGCCGCGCCCCCGCGCGCGCCCCGCGCGCCCCGCGCGCCCCCCCGCGACCCCGCGCGCCCCCCCGCTCCCCCCCCCACGCCGCCCCGGCCACCATCCCCCGGTTAGCCCTACTACTACTACTACTACTACTACTTACTACTACTACTATACTACTACCTACTACCACTACTACCTTTTCTATTCCTACTCCTACTCCAACTCTATTACTACTAACACTAGTACTACTACCTACTACTACTACTATACTACTACTACTATTACTTCTACTACTACTACTACTACTACTACTACTACTACTACTACTACTACTACTACTACTACTACTACTACTACTACTACTACTACTACTACTACTACTACTACTACTACTACTACGACTACTACGACTACTACTACTACTACTAACTACTACTACTACTACTACTACTACTACTACTACTACTACTACTACTACTATACTACTTACTACGGCTACTACTACTACGCATACGATTACTCTTACTACTACTACTACTGCTACTACTGCTGCTACCTACTACGACTACTACTACTACTACGACTACTACTACTACTACGACTACTACTACTACTACTACTACTACTACTACTTACTACTACGCTACTACTACTACTACTACTACTACTACTACTACTACTACTACTACTACTACTACTACTACTACTACGACTACGACTACTACTACTACTACTACTACTACTACTACTACTACTACTACTACGACTACTAGTAGTACTGTTCTTACTCGTAACCCCAGCCATACGAATACTACTATCATGAATGCTGCTAATAGTGGTACCGATGCGTTGTTCTGTTTTCTTGAACGAATGCGAATCGTAATGCCAATCATCGTCGTAAGATCATTACACATGCTAAGAACAGGATTAGGACTACTCTGACCAATCATATCCATATCAAGCACAACATGATTAACATGACGAATGGAAAAAAAGGGGACCAGGAAGACAGATACTTGTACGAATCATGATGCGAAAAGACCAGAGAAAAAGCAAGAAGAAGAGGGAGGGGGGATGGGGGGAGCGGGAGAGGAGGAGGGAGAAGGAGGCTCGGTGAGGGAGGGGGAGGGAGGAGGAGGGGGGAAGGGAGAGGGGGGGATGAGGGGAGGAGGGGGAGGGAGGGAGGGAGGGGAGTGGGAGGGAGGAGGGAGGAGGAGGCTCGGCGAGGGGGAGGCCCCGGGCCCCGCCTCGACCTCGGTCGGGGGACCGCCTGCTGTTCGCAGGGAACCCCCCCGCCGCAGGGGTGCACGGTCGAACAGGCTTGTACAGCCGGGAAGGTGAAAGCAGGACCGCTCTTGGCTCAGGAGGGGCCCTGACGCCAGAGGAGGAAAAGGTACCCATACCGCTACCCTTCGCTCGTCTTCCCTTTTCGGGCCTCCTGGGAAGCCCTCGTCGCCACCGCCGGATTCGCCTCGAAATTCCAGTCAGAACGCGCACCTGTAGAGGTCCAGGGAGTAGCAGAATCGGTGCTTTCTGGTTTCCCCGTGATTTTCGTCGTCGTGGGCGAGAAGCATATCCATGTCCGCGGCATCGGGAGGCCTGGTTCATGTCCGAGGCTCTACGTGGCCAGAGGGGGCCATTCGTTCCTGGCCCCGCGCTCCCCACGGCAGCACGACGACTGTGAGCATGAGCAGCTTTCCAGGGGCACCCCTCCCTCCTTGCAGTTTCGGCACGTCCTGGGCCGTTGTCGCAGGCCACGCGTGCTAAACAGGCTTCAGCTTGGGCATGTCCAGGATCCTTGCGCCCTCACCGCGCTTCCCTGCGTCGGGGAGCAGCAAGGCCCGAGTTCGCCAGAGCTCGGGCTTGCCGACGCTCTTTGACGGGCCCGTTCCGAGCTGTAGCGGTCTGGTTTCCGTGGAGCGTCTGCCGCGGGAGCTCGCTTCAAAAGGTCAGGCTGGGCCTCGTCAGTTCCTCGTGGGCGGACCTTGCGTCCGTACCCGCGGCTTCGCGGGCCGCGACGCCGCGGAGACGGGGCGTTCTCCGGCGGACGCCCCGCGCGGAACGTGTCCGTGCGACCGCGTCTCCGCGGGACGCCCTGGAGTGCAGAGGCGCGAGGGCGCGGAGACGGACCTGCTCGCCGCTCGTGCGCTCCCCGACGGCCCCGTCGGGCCAAGCCGGACCCCCCGAGCCCCGAGCCCCACGCTCCCGCGGCCGCGGTCCTGCCGCGCTGCACGGCGTGGCCGGTGGTGCAGGAGGTCGCCTGGAGGTCTCGGACCCGGGAGGGGTGCCCGATCCGACGGGGGCGTCAGGGAGATGCATGGCCAATCCAGCCACGCGCGGGAAGGGGGATAGAGGGGGGGAGGGGGGGACGGCTTCTCGGGAGCACACCCCTGCTGCTCAGGAGGCGCGGGCCTTGCCTGTAGATGCAGGGCCAGACCCTTTGAGAGGCGGCCTCCTTCTGGGAAGCCTTCCCCCCTCTCCTCACCCCCTTCTGCGCGCCGCCAACCAACGTAGGATCATGGAGGGGGGCATCGCTCGTCAACGCAATCTTGATGCGATCATCAACTAGCTTCCCGATCTCCTCGCTGGTCATGGGCATTGCCTTCAACATCTCCTCCATCTTGTCGCTGCGAATGTCGGTGTCGATGACGCTGGCCTCGATGCCTTCTAGCCAGCTGGTCAGAGTCTCGGTGAAGGATGTGACCTTGATGTCCAGCTTCCCGAAGTCCCTCCGCAGGGTATCCACGATGGATGTCATGGGGGCCAGCTGTTGTTTCATAAGGCCTGCAATCCCACCCATCGTCACCGGCTCTGCGACAATACCGGACGGCGCAGCTGCGGCGAAATCGGGCTGCAAGAAAGAGTTCATCTCCTTCCCGACCCCCTCGGCGTCTTCAGTGCCCGGGGTTCCGATCTGGTACTCCTCTGGGCTGTCCTCGACGCCGTGCATCTCGTGAAGTGGGCTCTTCAAGCGTCGGCGCAAGACTCCACGATCGCCTCCTACTGGAGTGCCAGCCTGTCGAGTTTGCTGCCGACCTGGAGGCGAGGCAAAGACATCGTCCAGCGCAGCAGCGTGGGCCATGATGCGCGAAGTGCAGATGAGAAGTCGCACGCTGAAGGCGAAGCGGTAGCAGCGGCTTGCGCGCCCGGATCTGATCACCCCGCGTCCCCCGTTGAGCCGCGCACCGGAGGCCGGCCACTCCTGCCCGGGGTCACTCTCGCGTGCAGCCGACACTGCATGGTTTGAGTTCCAGCGGCTTCCTGACCCTGGGCTCCTCATCCGACGGCTCCTGATGCGATGCCTTCTTCTCCGTGGTGCAGTGGTCGCTCGTGGGCCCGCTCGTCGGTCCGCTCTCCGCTCGCGGGGCGCTCTCCAGGCGCCACTAGCAAACACACATATACACACGCACGCACAAGCGCACAAACACAAACACACGCACGCACGCACGCACGCACGCACGCGCACGCACGCGCACGCACGCGCACGCACGCGCGCGCGCCTGCACGCACACACGCACGCACACACGCACGCACGCACACACGCGCATTTACATTCACGTTCACGTTCACATTCACATGCACATTTACGTGCCAGTGTACATGTGTATGTACATGTACATACCACATGTACATTCACATGTACATTTACAGTTACATTCAAATTTGCATGTACATGTACATGTACATGTACATGCACATGAATATTTTCATCTACATGCTCATTTACATCTACATCAAATTCAACATCGCATTCACATTCACATTCGCATTCCTACACACACGCACATTCACATTCACCCACACACACACGCAACTTTACGCACATCCACACACACGCACACACACACACACACACACTCTCTATTTTGGCGTCGCGGCCCTGCACTCAGCGACAGGGCGGAGAAAGTCGTGGAGCAGCAAACGCGTGCGCGCGCGACTATGTAGGAGCGCCCGAACTCTCAGAGACCGCGTAGGGTCCCGCAGCAGCCGCTCGCCATAAGTCATTCGGGGCACATTTACACATACACACATTCACACTTTTGGGGGATTGCGGCCTCGCGCGCAGCGACGATGCGGAGCAGTTCGAGCCAGCAGCACGGAACTGACGCGCGCGGCCGGGATCTCAGACGCGGGAGACCTTAGGACCTCTCACACACACACACACACACGAGGAGGGCTCGTCCTCGGGCGCTCGAGGGGACAGGCCTCTCGCCTCTCGGCGGCAGGGGCCGCGGCCGTGGCCGCCACGGCCGCCCTGCGGCACTCCGGGTAGGGTCGGACCGGGGAATGAGATCGAGGTCGGTTCGGGGAGGGTACCCTGATGTCCTTCGTGGTTATTGGATGTTCTTGTGCATCCTGGGGAGGGTACCCTCGAATGTTTCTCAGTTTGGCCGGCGGAGGGTCCCAGGCTCTAGACGGATGTTCTGCTTTCCTAGGTCCGACCGTAGATGGGACGGGAGCAATGCTCCGCATCGCCGATGCGGCTAAATGTGCGCCCCGATTTTCTCCACGCCGACGGCGCCGACGCTTAGCGTTTTTTTTTGTTTCCTTTCCGGCGTAATGCTCGCTACCCGGGCCCCCCCCCCCCTGGGTAACGCTAACGATCGTGCGGGGGAGGGGGGGGCCTGGGCCCCCCTGCATGCTGGGAGCGGACACCCCGCAGGTATCTTGCTGTGCTCACAGCACCAGTGGCGCGGACGCACCCTGGCGGGCGCGCGCCGCGGCCGCCGTTATCGTTACCCTCCCGCCCTCCCTCCCGTCCCCCCCCAGGTAACGGCCGTCACCCGGGAAAGAGAATAACGGTCACATGCATCGCCGACGTCGCAGATGCATTGCCGATGCATCGCCAATGCATCGTCTATGCGGCGCGGTCCTCTACCCCATCTACGCGGACCCCATCTAGGAGGCCTCTAGGAGGGGAGATCTACGCCAGCAGAGCACTCTCATAGCAGCAAGGGAGAAGAGGTCGGTTGAGGAGTAGAAGGTCAAGAGACAGCCGTGTGTACCAATGTTTGCTGTTGCACGGGATCGTGGCCGTCGGGACCCAAGATGTAGCTGGCATGGAGGTGAGAGCACGATTCTTTCATCAATTGTGAGGGCGTCTCAGGCGAAGCGGCTGCTGGACCGGGCTGTCTTGGGCTTCCCGTCCCCATTGTGAGACTCTTCTGTGGTTTCCTATCGCTGCTAGAAGCCGCCAGCGACATGCTGTTAGGGAGATAGCCGCTCCGATCCCCCATGATTGGCGATTGCTCGGCAGTCCTGGGCGATGGCTGGCCAGACTTGCCCCGTCCGACTCCTTCGGGCGCGCTTGCGAAAGGTCCTCGCTTGCTGGGGTACCTCTTGTGATGGTGGTCATTCTGCCCTGGAGGGTGCGCGGGAGGTGGGGGGGTCCCTGGAGCGGCTTCTCATCCTGAGCCGTCTTCTGACGGTCCCGCGGGGCCCGGCGAGAGCCCCAAGAGGCCAGAAAACGGCGAGCACCCCCTCGTCGTGATTTTTGCGCGACGCGAGCACGAAGTTGTTCGCGCTTCGCGGTTCGCCTCCGATTGGGTGGCACGAGAGCGCGAGGCCGGCCCGGGCTGCCTGCCGAGGGGTCGGAGCTCAAGAGAGCGCCAGATCTTGCAGGATCTTGCAGTGCCAGGGGCGCACTGACCTGGGCTAGCGTGCAGGATCTTGCAGGATCCTGCAAAGCTCGACTGACTTGGGTTTGCGTTGACCTGGGTCAGTAGATCCCCGAGCGGGGCGTGGGGGGGGCCCATTGAAGGTTCCGCCATGCCCATGTCCTTTGGGGCGCCTGGGCCACTGCGGGAGGAAGGGGACGGAGGGAAGGATGGTGGAAAGGCGGGGCGTTCAGGGGGTGCCCCCCTGAGGATTCCGCCGCCTGGAGGGGGCTGTCTGTGTGCAGCCCCAAGTCAGGATTCAACTCTTTGGAGTGAAGGTTCGGAATCGGCGCTGGTGCATCCCTGGTCGAAAGGATGGCCCATGCAGGGCCAGTCCAGTTCAGTCTGGCCTCGTCCCGCGCCATCGGGACGAACCCCGCCCCTTCCGCTGTGATCCCGCGGGCAAGCTGGCCTAATCTGGTTCAGTCGCCATTTCATCGGGCTCAAGTACCTTTCACCGTTCTGACGACGGCCTACCAGGAGGTCCTGGCTTCTGTAGCAAATCATGGGAACCTGGCACACCTCCTCCTCCTCCTCCTCCTCCTCCTCCTCCTCCTCCTCCTCCTCCTCCTCCTCCTCCTCCTCCTCTCCCCCTCCTCCATCTCCTCCCCCTCCTCCTCCTTCCTCCTCCTCCTCCTCCTCCTCCTCCTCCACCTCCACCTCCACCTCCACCTCCTCCTCCCTCTCCTCCTCCACCTCCTCCCCCTCCTCCCTCCTCCTCTTCCTCCTCCTCCTCCCACCTCCTCCGCCTCCTCCTCCTCGGGTCGCCTGCGGCCCCGGGGGAAACCGTGCAGCGAGGGGGGAGGCCGCGGCACGGCGGTGTCCACCGTGTTCCGGCGCAGCCAGGGCAGGCCGCGCGCCAACAGTTGTCGGTGGCCGCCGCCGGCGTCAGGGTGTCGTCGACGTCGCCGCGGTCGTGGTCTTCTTGGCTTCGGCGTCACGCCGACGTACTAACACCCAGGGGAGGGAGAAGGTACACATACCTCTACCCCTTTCTCGTTCTCCCCTGTTTGGGCCTTTTCGGATGCCCTCGTCGCCACCGCTGGATTCGCCTCGAACTTCTGGTCCGAACGCACCCCGGGAGAGGTCCGGGGAGTAGCGGTATCGGTACCCTTTAGCTTTTCCAAATACTAAATGTGCGTCGCCCCTCCAGGGGCGACGCGCGCACCGACAAATCTTATCGTATGCGCGCCGCGGCAGGCGCCTTCTGGCCATGCCGCTCGGGAAACCGTATACTACAAGATGCTTGTACTATTTGTTCGGGTCGGACGCACGCCTCCAAGGATGCCCTTGTGCGCCCCATTGGTCTTGGTTATAGCCGTCGTTGTCGAAGTCATCGTCGTGTCGTCGTTGTCACAGTCCTGGACGATGTCGTTGTCGTGGGTGGTTGCGATTCTGGCCGCTGTCGAAGTCGTCGTCGTCGTCGTCGTCGTCGCCGTCGCTGTCGCCGTCGCCGTCGCCGTCGTCGTCTTATTCGTATTCGTATTCGTCGTCGTCGTCGTCGGGGGCGGAGGTGGAGGGACGATAATGATGACGACAAGGAAGGGGAGTAGGAATGGTGGACCAGGAGGAGCACGGTCCAGCTTAAGAGTGAAGAGGATTGCACGCTTGCAGAGTGATTCTCCCGCGGGGGGGAGCGGCACTTTCATGCAGTATTCATTTGTGCATGTATGGGCACGCCCATCTGTGCTCGCAGACGGTGGGGGGCGTTTGTTAAGGAATGTGCCCAGAAGCCCTCAGACCCTGGAGCATTTCTTATCTGATGAGGGCGGCTGGGAAGTCCATGGCCGAGCTGGTGATCCACTGGGCCTCCAGACCGGATTCCCTATCCAACGGTTCCCTATCCAATGCCCTCATCGCATCACGCATTGCCTCCTGTACGTCGGCCTCGGCCCCTCGTCCTTGCCCGCCGCCTTGCCCTGCCGCCGCTGCCTCTCCAAAAGAAGAACACGCAGCACAAACATAAATTTTTGGCGTTTCGCGCGGGTTTCTTGGATTGCCCTGGACGCTCCTCCCTGGCGCGCGGAGCGCGCCAGGGGCGGCGCCGGAGGCACGGCCGGGGGGCCCCAGCGTGGATCCGAGAAATCAGCGCGGAGCGCCAAAAGTTTATGCTTATGCTGTTCTTCTTCTTTTTCTTATTCTTCTTCTTCTTCTTCTTCTTCTTCTACTACTACCTTCTTCCCTCGAACCCCCTTTCTCGTCCTGTCATGCCCCTCGCCCGACCACCTTTTCGCCCTCCTCCCCGCCTCACCCGTTGCTTCCGCGCCGCCGCGCCGTCGCGCGAGAACTCGCCCTGACTGCGGAGGCGGAGCGAAGAGAGAAACAGGGAGGCAAGATGGGCGTTTGGGGATTCCACGAAATCCGCGAAGTCCGCGACATCCACGAAATTCGGGAATTTCGCGGATTTCTAGGAGTTCTTCGCTTGCCGTCGACTTCCGAGCCCCTGCTCCGTGATTCGTCGGATTTCGTTGATTGCTGTTGATTTCCGAGCCTCTGCTCCGGGAATCGTCGGATGTCGTGGAGTGCCGTTGGACCTCGTCGACTGCCGTCGATGGCGGGCACGCCGTGAAGCTCTGCACGGTCTGAGGGCTCTCTCTGGCCGTCCCGCGCCCTTCGGGCCGGACGAAAGGGGGGGATTGGGAAAAGGGGGGTTACGAAATTTGCGGCATGCAGCTGGCTTCGGCCCCACCGAGGGGCCCGTTCCTCGACACGTCGTCGCCTCCGGCGCCGGGAGGCGCCGGAGAAATCAGCTCCGTGAGCCGATCCTCAAACCCCCCCTTTGCTATCCCCCCCTTTCGCCCGACCCGAGACCTCCCTCGCCCCTCGCTCCCCGCCCGCCTGGCGCTCCCCCCCCCGCCCGCCTTGCCGTTGGACATCGTCGATTGCCGTCGATGTCCAACGGCAATCAACACCTTGGCCGTCCCGCGACCTTCCTCGCGACCGCGACCTTCAATGTCGATGCCGTTGCCCGACCCGAGACCTCCCTCGCCCCTCGCCCCCCGCCCGCCTGGCGCTCCCTCTTGGCCTCCCGTCGCCGCGCAGGCGCTCTATGCCGCCCGCGTTGGACCCAGCTCGCCGCCGAGCAGAACACGTGCTTTTGTTTCACCACATGGCCGACGACCGCCCCCTCGGGGCTTCTCTCGGTGCCTCCGACTCGATTCGATTCGATTCGAGTTCGATGGATTCAATTCGATTCGATTCGATTCGATTCGATTCGATTCGATTCGTCTTCGGTGGATTCCGATTCCGATTCCGATTCGGCATCGGATCCCGATGTGGGCTCCGATTTCCCCATGGAGGCCTGCTGGCGATGGATTCCGATTCCGATTCCGATTCCGATTCGGCATCGGATCCCGATGTGGGCTCCGATTTCCCCATGGAGGCCTGCTAGCCTGCCGATGTCTACCGATTCGAGTTCGATGGATTCCGATTCCGATTCCGATTCGACATCGGATCCCGATGTGGGCTCCGACTTCCCCATATGGAGGCCTGCTGGCCTGCCGATGTCTACGAATTCGACGATCCGCTCCACGTCGAGCGCCGACTCGGCTCCCCGGCTCTACTCTGGGCCCTCCCTGCCCGCCCAGAACCGCTCCCCGGTTGGGTTCGGGGGAGCCCTCCCGGGCCCCCATCGGCCCCCCGGGGAGCTCGAGAAGGAAGGCCTGTGGGGCACCTCCGAGGGCCGCAGGGAGGGGAGGCGGCACGAGGGCCGAGGGGGGGCCTCCCCGGGGCAGGGCTCGCGCCAGTTCCTTCGGATTCGGTTCGACTTCGGCTTCGGCGGCTTCCGATTCCGCTTCGATTCGACTTCCGCTTCGATTCGACTCGACTTCGATGGCTTCCGACTCCGATTCCGATTCGATTTGGGATTCCGATTTGGACTCCGCCGATTTCCGCCGATTCGCCGATTTCCGCCGACTCGACTTCTCCAGACTCGGCTGCCGATTCCCGCCGATCCGATTTTCATGTCGATCGCCGAGCCGACTTGTCGATTCGATTCTGGGCTCTCCTGCCTCCCCGCCCCCCGCACCTCGGTCGGACTGAACAATGCAGTGCGGCCGCACAGGCAGGATGAGCGATTTTCCAAGGCTGCCCTTGCATCCTTGCCCCTTCGGCCCATCCTTAGCGACCTTCGCTGGCCAGCCTCGTTCGGAAAACGTGAACATGGCCCTCCACAGCCCAAGCATCCTTACCGCGCATCCTTATTATACTAGTTAGCTGTATTCCCTGGTCGGTCGGCGTCCTCAGGGCAGCGCTCTGGCATTCCAGGCCTTTTGCACCCGACGTGCAGCCAAGTTTCGAGGCAGAGGATGGTTCGGCGCTTCTCGCCGCTGCTCTTGCCCCCCGCCAGCCGGGGAAGAGCCCAACTGACCGGGGTACAGTCAACCCGTACAGGAAGGATGGGCAACCTTCCCAAGGGCACCGTTGCATCCCGGCCTCCCGGTCCATCCTTGGCCTCTTTCGTGGGCCGCGCCCCTCTCGAAAAGCTTCGAAATGGGCGTCCAAGGCGCCTGCATCCTGATCGCGCATCCTTGCTAGACCCAGACCCCCGACGTCGCGATGTTGTTCACCACGTCGACCTCCAGAGGTCTGAACGCCTTCCTCGGGACTGGTTTTTTGTCCTGAGTCGTTTTGTTCACGGTCCCGGGGCCTGGCGAGGGCCCCAGAGGCCGAAAACAACGAAAAACCTCCCGTCGTGATCTTTGAACAACGCGAGGAGGTCTGGACCCATTCTCTGGGAGCGGTTTTTCGTCCCGAGTCGTTTTTTGACGGCCCCGGGGCCCGGCGAGGCCACCCGGAGGCCGAAACTGGCGAGAGGCCTCCCGTCGTGATCTTTTCTCACTCGAGGAGGCCTCGGATCCTTGGTACAGAGGCCGACTTTGGACGCCAACGGATTCCCAGAGAGCAGCCGGCCGGCCCCCGCGGAGAGGCCGCGCATGGCCTCGGGGGCCCTCACGGACGCGGCGGTGCAGTGGCTGGGCGCCGTGGGCAGCGACATGGACCGCCGCCCCCGCGGCCGCCCGCCGGTGCGCCCTGCGGGGGGAGCGACCAACATCGCAGAGCGGAGGTCGTTCGGAAAACGACAGGATGGGCCCGGAGTTCGGGGTGACCCAAGAGAGGGTCCAGCGACAAGGAGGTGGTGCAATAGATCTGGTGCAATAGATTTGTGGGGTTGCAATACAATTCGGGGCATGCAGTACATTTCGGGGCGCACATGCATTGCTGCATTTTCGCGCGCAATACACTACCTGCAATACAAAGCAACACAAGTCTCCGGCGCTGGACCCCCTTTTGAGTCCCAGAGGAGTGTCCTGGAGAATTTCGTTCCGGATTTCGAGTTGGATCTCGTGCGGATTCTGTTGTTCAGGATTGACGATTTTAAAAGATCCGCGCGAAATTCACTTCATTTTTCGCTCGCCGTTTCGAGCAAAAATCCAAGCAGAAATCCACGCATAATTCCGCTGCAGCACGTCTGCAAGGCCTGTGCAGTGAGGGGAAGGGAGGGGTCAGAGAACGGAGAGCAAGAGGGGCGGCATTCCCACCGTCGGCGGGTCACCGCCAGGATGCCCTCCCCGAGCTGGAGGCCTCCACCTCCTCTTCCTCCTCCTCCTCCTCCTCCTCCTCCTCCTCCTCCTCCTCCGCGGAGCTCTGCTGCTCCGAGAAATCAGTGCAGACCTTCTGTTATGTCGTGGTCTGGTCCCCGAGAAATTGGATCGAACCTTATAACTGTTATATCGTAGTCAGAAATCAGATCCGAGGAATCAGAAATCGGGAAATCCGAGAAACCCTACAATTTGTGTTAGGAGGGGCGGCAGTCCCACCGTCGGCGGGTCACCGCCAGGATGTCCTCCCCGAGCTGGAGGCCTCCACCTCCTCTTCCTCCGCCTCCTCCTCCTCCTTCTCCTCCCCCTCCTCCTCCTCCTCCTCCTCCTCTCCCTCCTCCTTCTCCTCCTCCTTCCTTCCTCCTCCTCCTCCTCCTCCTTCCCTCCTCCTCCTCCTCCTCCCTCCTCCTCTCTCCCCCTCTCCTCCTCCTTCTCCTTCCTCCTCCCTCCTCCTCCTCCTCCTCTTTCCCTCCTCCTCCTCCTCCTCCTCCTCTTTCCCTTCCTCCTTCTCCTCCTCCTCCTCCTCCTTCCTTTCCTCCTCCCTCCTCCTCCTCTTCCTCTTTCTCCCCCTCCTCCTCCTCCTCCTCCTCTTCTTCTTCCTTCCTCCTCCTCCTCTCCGCCTCCTCCTCCTCCTCCTCCTCCTCCTCCTCCGTGGAGCTCTGCTGCTCCCTCACCACGTTGGCTCAGCAGCTCGGCGGCGACACGTGCTCGGTGTCAGACGGCCTGGATGGGGCAGTGTTCTATGGAATCGCTTCGCTCGTTCGGCCGGCCCCATGGCATCACTTGTGCTACATGTTTGTGTGATCGTGGCGAGCGAGGAGGAGGAGGAGGAGGAGGAGGAGGAGGAGGAGGAAGAATAATAATAAGAAGAAGACGAATTAGAAGAAGAAGAAGAAGAGGAGGAGGAGGAGGAGGAAGGAGGAGGAGGAGGAGGAGGAGGAGCAAGAAGAGGGGCCTCCGGGGGGCCTCTTGGGGGCCTTTTATGGGGTTCTCTTGGGGGCTTCTTGGCGTCCTCTGGGAGCCTCTTGGGGGGCTCTTGGGGGCTTCTTGGGGCCTTCTGGGTGCCTCTTGGGGCCGAGGGCTCGAAATGTCCGTTCGGGTTACCCGTCTGGCCCCCTCTTGGGGCTGTCCTGTGCCGACTTGGAGGCCTCTTGGGCCGTCGTGGGGCCCTCTTGGGGCTCTCATATGGAGGCTTCTTGGACCGTCTTGGGGCGATATTTGGTGCTTCGTGGGCCGTGTTTGAGCGTTGGGAAATCCGAACAGATGAGAACGCCAAAAACCTTCAAAAACCGAAAGGGACATCGATGGTTTTTGCCTCCTGCATCGCTTCTTCGAGGCCTCTTCGGGCGTCGTGGGGGCGTCTGCGGCCGTCTGGAGGCTATCTTGGTCTTCTTTGACCGATCGGTCGGTGACTCGGAGCCCTCTTGGACCGTCTTGGGGACTCTTGGGGCCCTCTGGGAGCGCTCTGGGGCGCCTGAAAGCCGCGTTCAGAAGGAAAAACAATCTCTGAGTCGGACCGCCCAGGGTATTTTTTGTCCAGGGATCCCCAGGAGTCGCCCCGCGCGCGCGCGAACTAGAAATATAGTTTACCAGTCGCCGGAGATCTTCGCACGTCTCTGGCCCGTTGGGCCGGCCAATTTCCGCCCTCTCCATCTGCGCCTCTCAGTGCGAGACGCGGGGGATGCATCATCGGTATGTGCGGGTCCTCTTCTTCCTCCTCCTCCTCCTCCTCCTCCTCCTCGCTCTCCCCCTCCTCCTCCCCCTCCTCCTCCTCCTGCTCCTCCTCCTCCTCGCTCTCTCCCTCCTCCTCCTCCTCCTCATCCTCCTCCTCCTCCTCCTCCTCCTCCTCCTCTTCCTCCTTCTCCTTCTCCTGCTCCTCCTCTCCTCCTCCTCCTCCTCCTCCTCTCCTCCTCCGCCCCCTCCTTCCTCCTTCCTCCTCCTCCTCCTCCTCCTCCTCCTCCTCGAGGAGGACCCACCCTGCCTATTCCCTGGCCTCCTGGCCGTAGGTGTCGGACACCGACGTTCCCCCTCCTCCTCCTCCTCCTCCTCCTCCTCCTCCTCCTCCTCCTCCTCCTCCTCCTCCTCCTCCTCCTCCTCTTCCTCCTCCTCCTCCTCCTCCTCCTCCTCCTCCTCCTCCTCATCCTCATCCTCATCCTCATCCTGATACCCAGCCGTGTTGCACTTCAGTAGCAACCACATGTAGAAGATAAGTTCACCTGTGCACTGCGTGCGAAGCACGCCGCGATTGCCACTCTCGGTTGAGGCTGGATGCTGGACTGCCCCACCCAGGCGACGTGCACTCATTCTCATCCCTCCTCCCTCGGTCCTCGATGCCCCCAGGGGAGGAGGGCCATTGGCTCCAGCACGGCCGCCGGTCGGCTGGTCTGGCCCCGGCTCCGCAATGAGGCTCCCTCGCTTTGCCGCCGGCCTTTTGCCGAGAGAAAGCCTTGAAGTCTGGGCGTTGCGATTTATCCGCTCTGGGCGGTTTCGCCCAGTTTCGGGCCCCAGGTCCATCATAGATCGATCTGGATCGAAGATTGCCGCAGAAAGATGGCGTCTAGTGCTCTGGTCGTAGTTTTTTTCGCGTTTGCGTCGAAGCGCGGCACAGGCAATCCGCACGCGCGCTCCAGTGAGCCAGGCTATAGCAGACACTAGGTGTCCGCCAGAAAGAGGGAAGGACTTAGGCGGAGTGCGGGCGCGGAGGGCGGATGAGAAGGAGGGGGGGCACTCACAGCACGAAGAACTTCGACTGGAGTGACAGGGCAACCATCCTGCGCTGACGCGGCCTGGCAGTGGACGCGGGTCGGTGTCGCGGCCACACCCAGGGATTAGGGCGCAGGCAGCAATATTCAAACGAGAACCACGTAGCACTAGTCTTGGAGGAGGAGGAGCGGCGAGCGTGCATACGCAGGTGGGCGGCATTCTAAGTGGTCGTCAGAAGGCCCAGGGTGACAGGCTTTGCTGCAGGAGAGGGCTGACGGATCCAGGAAGATCCAAGCCCACCTGGGGCAGGGCCGCGATAGCTCGCTGCAGCAGAATGCAAGAGCCCTGCTGAGCTGCTGCGAATCGGGCTGTGGGGCTGCGGCGCTGCGGGGGCGAGTGCAACACATGCTGGAGACTGCTGAGCGAACGACGCCACCAGCCGAAGCGACGCAGCACCAAATTCTGGCCGTCGGGGCCAGGATGGCATCCAGCGAGGCTGTCGGGGGCAGGGCGGCTGAGTTTGCGGGAGCGGCGGCTGTGGCCACGTGGCAGGGCAGCTGGCGGAGGCGCCTACGAGGCAGCCAGCAGGGCTGCGGGGAGATGGGGCTGCTGCGCGCAGGAACACGTCGGCGGGCGGCACCGGTGCCGCAAATCGCGCGGGGAAGCCTCGGCGATGGATGGCAGGAGTGGGGGAGAGGGACCGAGAGCCGAACGTGGCTGGTGCACGCCTCACAGCTGGGCGCAGCGACACCGCTCGCCACAGCTGGCTGGCGAGGCGGGGCGCCCCGCAGCAGGGGATGCGCCGGGCGGGGCGGCAGAGGGCGCCCTCCCGACCGGCGCAAGCGACACGGCATGCCGCAGCGCCGCCGCGCCACAGAGCTGGCGGGCGTGGGGACCAGCGGGGGCGGCGGGGCTTGCGGCGGCCAGACAAGGGGCCCGCTGGATGATGCGCCAGCCAGGGGCTGCAAGGCCCGGGCATACGGCGCAGGGCGGAAGGGCGGCGGCACCGAGAGGAGCCGGCCATGGCGGAGCGGAGGCCCCGCCCGGGACACCCCCCAGGCCGCGGGGAGAGGAGCGCCACCAGGGAACCGGGTCACCGAATTGAGCACCCGCAACGTCCTGGAACGCACCTGATTGGTGCACAAGCATGTCACAAACATCTTGCAAGGAAGCAGTCACCTGGGGGGGGGGGCCTCGCGTCGCATCGCACCCGCGCGTGGAGGCGAGGCCCGCCTGGCGGGGGCGTCTGTCGCTCCAGCCCGAAGGAAATGGGAACGTCCACCTGGGGGGGGGCGCAGGTTCCCGAAGGAGAAGAGGGAGGGAAGGCTCCACCCCTTGGGGGTGGGGGGGGGGGCGCGCCCGCGAGAGATGAAAGGGGCAAGGGGCCTACCTGGGGGGAGGCCGGGCTGGCACCTTGCAAATCCATAGGTGCCAGGTGTGCGTGAGGGCTCAGGACTCAGGACGCCGAGGTTCGTGGCCAGGGTCCGAGAGGACAGCGCGGGTTGAGGACCAGACTTGCAGGCCAGACCCCCCGCGTGCGCGACTGTGTCTCCAGTCGGCCGGGCGGCGCCCGTGGCCCTCGTTTGCCTCCCGGGCCTCTCCCTCCGCCTGCCTGCGCCAGCCAGCCCTGCTGCTGCCACACGTCGCCCCAGTCTACCCCGATGTGCTGGTACCGGCAGGGGGTCCTGCTGTCG